CTTCAGGCCATTGGTATGTAGGCAAAGGTGCTTTGTAGATCGACGTTCTCAAACTTCTCGCTGTAAGTTGGGGATTGAATCATTTCTTTCTTCTCGCCTGACATTCTCTGATGATGGTTCTTTCCAACATTTCTATGGGGGTGGCACATATCAATCGCCTAGAGGGCACTCGGTTGAGAGAAATATGTTTTTGGTTGTGGGATCTCTTATACTGGGCCCACACACAAAACATTCATCTCATTGCATGTTGTGTGACGGGCTCTTGCACCCTTCTTGCAGATCCTATTTTCCACTCCAACTGTTTTTATATGATAGAATGGCCCTTAGATCCCCTTGTTTTCAGGGAGCTTTGCACTCGGTGGGGTTCTCCCCACATGGATGCATTAACTATGATCCTTAATTCACAAGTTACCTTATTTAGTCACCAGTTTCTCATACTCAGGCTTTGGCAGTTGATGCTTTCAGCAAAGATTGGTCCCACGAGTATCTTTATGATTATCCTCCTATCTGATTACTTCAGTGGGTGATCTCTCCTACATTCCACGCCATGTTGAGTCCTTCTGATTGTTCCTTATTGGCCAGCTCAGCTGTGGTTTCTGTGGTTACAGCACCTGCTACTTTTCCTATCCAAATCCTCAGTCACAGCTCTATTCCAACCTTCACACTTGGCTTTTCTCCAGTTCTTGGCAAGGAGTTCTGGTTTGTTCCACCAAGTCATTTTCTGTTTAGCTGGTTCCATATGTCCTTCTTCCATGGAGGTATGGAGCACAAGTGGAAGGTGTTCCACAGTTGGACTACAACTCCTGGATTTCCTGCTGACCACCTACTGTGGCTTATTTGGCAGATTTTGTCCCTTGTTTGTTTGTTTTTTACCAGGGGTTTTCAGTCTTGTCACTTTCAGGTAATCAGGCAGCTTTATCCCATACCTTTCATTTTTCCCAATACATAGCATTTTTACTTCACCTGTCCTTGTCATGCTCCTTCTTTCCTTCTGGTGGCATCACCCTTCCAGGTGACCTACCTTTCAGATTGGGATGTTAATGGAGTACTCCATTCCCTCACTTTACTTCTCTTTCAACCACTTTCCTTGTGTCCCATGTTTCTCCTTTCCCTTCAGACCTATTCCTTCTCCTCTTAGCTTGTGGACGTCGACAGTCAGATTATTTGCCTTTGATGTTTCAGTACACCTTATCACCCTACCTATCTTCTCCTTTATCTGGATCATTCCCTCCTCCCAAAGATCTTTGTGGCTCGGGAGGGTTACTCCTCCCTTTTGCCTATTTCCCTTCCTTCTCTTTCTCAGCTTTGCCCTTGACTGGATCCAGATAGGCTTTTGTGTCTGGTCAGGGTTCTTTATTGTTATATTTCCCATCCAGCTTCCCTCCATAGTACTCGTTACTGACACTTTATACCCTGGCAGTCTTCCTCCCTTCATTATTTTTTTATTTCAACCATTACTAATTGGGTCTGACTTTTGACCCGAAAGGCTTATTCCTTCTTAAATTTGTTCCGGGTATCTTCTCATCAGATTAGACACCTCTCCTTTTCCCTCGCTTCTTATCTTTGTTTTCCATTGGAGGAAATTCTACAATCAAGCATGTGGACCACACCTAATATATTCACCAGCCATTATCTACATCATATTGCAGTTTCTTCTTCGCCGGGGTTTTCACCTTCCACCTGCAGCTATTCTTCAGACTTCGGTGTGACTCTGACTGGTATGTTTCTATTCATACTTTCTTTGCAGGAGCCTTTTCTTCATTCCTCATTATTTGGATGCCTGACCAGGTATTCTTTAACTTGAAATCCACACTGTCCAGCCATGTTAACTCATGCTTTATCTTCCATAGCTTTATTTGCTCACCATTGAGATGGGGTGTTCCACAAGATCACTTGTAGGTGCATGACCTCGTGATATTTTGCTTTATAAACATGCCTGTCCTAGACTATGCCACCCATGGACTGCATGGGTAAAGCAGAAGTGGATTTCTGCCCATCCCTGCCATGCTTGAAGTGAATAACATGGTATGGTCTGCTTTTCAAAATAAGGTTTCGTGGTCATCCATTGCACTGTCTCAGGTGATGACGTTCCTCCAGACTCTCCACCAAATTGTCACCCTCCTTTCCTCGTGTGGAATATGGGAGTCCTTACTGCTTTCCAGTTCCATGCCACAGTTACAGAGTAGGGCAGTGGTGTTCTGCAGGTGTAGATGACATTATCTCCTTCTATTTGTAATACCCAATGACCCTCTCATGGATGTTGTACCCCATGGGCAGGTTTTTGGATTTAGAGTGAACCAATCAACATAAGTCTTCACACCAGTTTAGGGTTGTATATCTTACTCCCTTGATTTCCTCCGTCTGTGTTGTGAGTCACAGTGATTGTACATGGTATTGTTCTGGTTTGGTCCTCGGCTATCCCTCGTTCGCTCTTCTTACGGGTATGTTATTGCTATTTGGATGGTCACTGCCTATTTCACAGTTGGGGGAGTTGATTGCATGCAATAGACATCCTTCTCATACCAAATGTTAAGTTCATGGATTGATAGCTCAGAGCTAATCCTTGTGTCATACCCGGGAACCAGAGTGGTTCTCATTTCCCTGGTTCTTGGGTTTGAGGTGAAGACGGTATGATCCTCATCCTACCCTCGTGCGGATGTTGATACCCCACAGGCAGGATTTTGGATGTAGTCGACTTACCGAATATGGTCCGCTGCATTCTAGCCACTCTACACCTAGGTGTACATTCTTTGCTTACCCACCTTTCTCATTGTGGGATTGAGTTACAGTATATTTCTATGGTTAGGATCACTTTCCTGCCGCCTTCTCTCTCACATTCCAGGGTTGGAAGAAGAGTATACCTGGCTCAAAAGTGGTGTGGTTTTCCTCATCTGATCTTCAGATCTGATTCTCTCATTTCCAGGGGTATCCTTTGGATGCTTTCAGGGGGTACTTCTATCATTCCTACGCACCAGTCCCTCCTCCTATTCAATGTGGGATTCTAGCTAATTTTGTGAGAGGAGGTAAGGACCGTGTTGGAAGTTATAATTTTCC